GAGGAACGACGTGACAAAAAGGTAACAGATAAGGAGAAGGGGCTCAGTTTTGCGGATAGTGCCAGCATGCCCACGTACATCAGACATGTTGCCACCTTCTTTGCAAAACGCGGAGCAGCGCATCAAAGCGATTTCGCAGAGTTCGCTCTTTTCTTGCTTAATGTTGTGGTTTACACCTGTTATACGAACAATGTCCATATAGCAATAAGGAAATCGATTGGTCCACTATTTATCACTATTACATATTTTACAGGTAAACCGTGATCATCAAAGCCTGATCGGTGCGATGGCAGCTGCCCTATTGTGTGCTAATAGGGCATGTCCTTTACAAAAAGCAGGCAATTTCCAGGTTTCGAACAAGGTATTAATATAATAGCAGAAAACAACACAAAATTTCTTGTGTGACCAACTAACGAGATGGTGTTATAATATTAAAGTAACTATATTTATGGGAAATGTGTCACGTTTTTTGAGAGAACTTGAACTTTGCCAAAACTGTAGTAGATAAACAAAAACCGGTATCTTTCAAGATAAGCTAAGTTTAATGTACACGGATAACGACAAGTTAGCGCCTATAAATAATTTTTACGCTAAATCAAAATGCAGGCATCGGCATATGTTTCTCAGATGTGTAAATATAAAACATATGTATTTCCAAAATATTGCTACAAGTTTTCATTGAAAATAAGTGCAAATACAGAATTATATATCTTATAGTTAACGTGGACTTATCATTTGGGCTCTCATATCGCTTTATCAAGCTACACTTCAATATATATACCAACGACTTCAATATCGAGCGGCCCAAAGGCATGTCGACAAGGATGATATGTATGGATTTTACGATAGTACTATAGTTATAGCAGTAGGTTGCGATAACAATGTTTGAGTAGAATTCCGCTGTATACAAGGAACCCCCGGCTGTATACCTCTGAACCCCAGTGGCTAAGTCGTGTTATGGTGAGATGTGTGATAGCTCCAGACGGCGCTCTGAAGCTCGCTAAGATAAACGCTCAATAGGATTTATCTTATTTTGATCAGTATTTATACATCCTGCTTGGTCCGCATTCAGACGCTGACACATCATCCTGTCTGTATTTCCGGACTTCTTTAAACTGGTAGCCATTTTAAATGAACCGCACCATGCCTGTTTGATTGTTGCGAACAAGCAAAAAAAAAACGTGACTGGCCCCGCCGTTCCCCTGCTAAACCAAAGGGCAACGTGGGTATGTTGAACGCTGCATTGTCAAAGTCTCTTCACTATACTTCTACTGCTATAGGTCTACGGTTATACTTTACCCATACGGCTATACGATAGTACATCTTCTAGCCAGAAACACCTACAAGGTACCGTCACGTATAATGAAACCAAGCCAATCGACCGCCTCTACCTATTAACTAAACTAATCGCGAAGTATTAACCTGCCTGAACGAGGACGAAAGTCCCGAGAAGCTGCGATAAAAATAGTGATACGATAAAGACGATGTGACGGCGTCGGCGACCAGCAAAGCACGAAAAACGTCCTGCCATTCTATTTCGTCTCTCTGATCCCTCAGGAGGCCGGGCGTCATCGACACGTATCAAAGGTTCGCCCTCGCCTGTCGCAGATCTCGTATAATGCCCGCAGGACCAGAGGCAACGGCCAGACAGCCAGTTGAGCAAAAATGAAACGTAGCAAAGATCCCACTTTTAAATTCCTTTAACTTAACGTAACTCAAGCCACACTCTATAACGGGGATACAAAACGAACTGAGCTGATACGAGCGGAATAAGGCAGAGTCCTAATGGCCATCAGCAGCAGGCAAAATAAGGACAAAAGAAGAGGGCTGCAGTAGAGATGTTGGAGCTGCCATGGCTCGGTAATATAATGTCTTGCCGTTCTGCTAATGTTAGAGTATCATGCTAAAAGACTGGAGTGGCTGGAGCAGTGGAACGAAAAGATCGTGACTAAGCAAGGGCTGAGATTTGGCTTTTAGTGGCATATGCTATTTCACAGGCCATCAGAATCATTGGCACTGTCAAAGAGCTGACAGTTAAATACATACACGCATATGGTAGTAATATGTTGCACGTACCGGCAAATGTACAACAGCACTTCATACTCACTATATTCTATGTCGTATGCACGTTCACCGGTACATCGTGTGTAAATACACATATTGATATACATATACGCCTATATATACATATATATATATATAGATGTACATGTATGGCTGTTCCAGTCGATGAGAAAAATCAAGTCAGCAACCTGGCACAAAGGATAGGATAAAACGACCGAAACGCACACAGGGCGGGATGGAAGAAAAGGAATAAAAAGCAAGCGAAGGCAATATGAAGAACAGCTAATGCACAAACGCTAGCAGCGGCCGAACAAGAAAGCAAAACATTTATTTTGCGGACACTAGCACCACCGCACAGGAATGAGGTACCCCATCGGCTTTCGAAGCTCTTATAACCGGTCACTGGTGGAAACGTCGCCGAAGTAGTAGGTTCCGTACTATTATTATTACTACATTATTCGAATACTATTCACTATCACTGGGCAACATGATGCCGTGCGCAGGATTGCTTGCTTTGTGCCGCCTACCGAAGGCTGCCCGTCCCGTTCCGAGGTAACGATCGTGTACCAGTCGTACTCACAGCAGTCACGGGCGGTTATGTATATATACGATTGGTACATGGGTCCAACAGCATACAATGCAGTAAGCGACGTCTGCCTGTTTCGGATATGAGTACAACGAGAAATGTGGAAGGGGGTCGAGCTTGCTACTGGGTTATTGGTTCCGACCGATATTACCACTGTCGCACTTATATATCCGTTTATATGCGCTCGAGGGACGCCTAACCGGGGTTTCTTGTCGGGAGGGTACAATGCAATGGTGACTGTAGCGACGGCTGGAAGATATGCACGGACGGTTAGATGAGGTAGGTCGACAGGGCCAGCATAAGAACAGAAACGCCTCAATCTCGGACCAGCTCGGGTATGTACCCAAGTTCGATACTATATGTCCTTGGTTACGGGGGAGAAGCTGATGCTACATGCAAACATCGTTGCAGTCAAGCGCGTTCATAGAAGCGATTTCTCTCAGTCTGACTGCAGTGGCTACTATACTGTGGTACAATAGCCTCAAATGGAAGGAACAAATAAGAAGGATCGAGAATGGTTAGACGGTTTTTCACGTGGGCTCGGCAACATGGCCCGTAATAAGTACGTACACGAGAACAAGACAAAGTTCCAAACTAACTCATTTGCAGTGCTTTTTTTAGCTGTTAAATGCGCAGGATAGGACCTTTACTAATAGGATGGTAAATTGAAACTGCTTTTTTTATCGTTATCGTTTACCGCCTTTTTGTGGCGAATCCGATCACTTTGATTGCATTTAATGAAGGTAATGATAATTTAAAAATGGTTGATTCCCGCTAAAAATTAAACTTCAACAAAGCGTCCTATAGAATTAACTTGAAGACATAAAAAATGAAAGATCAGATAAGAAAGCCCGAACAAGCAAGTTTACTTTTCTTTAAATACGAACAATTACAATATTCTATGACACAGGAACATTCAAACGCCTGCATTAGGCCAGCAAGCTAGCCTGCACGAAAGCATTTTGGATAAACCTATTCCTCTAATAACTTCGCGTTTCTCTGCAGGGGAGGCATAAATTAAAGGCTAGTCGTTCGTTCAATAATGACGCCGCCCATTAGGACTCTGATAAGGCCTTTCCGAGTCTTTTGTGAAATTGGTGTCAAATCTATCAGCCACCTTAAGTAGCTCAAGGCGTATTTATGGAACACCATTACCGACTCCCGCAGGCACGCGTGTACTCGACAGACAACTCAATAACTCTTTTTTCTACCGGCCTAGATTAGGTGCACACAAAGGTGTTGACTCCGAGAAAATCGGTTAGTATTCTTGAGTAATCACTGACCTGTCCCCAACGTAGTAGACAAACGAAGCCTAAACACACGCAAAAACGCCAAAAATGTCTTTTTTTCGAGAGTTCAGCACGGCACAAAACACTGAGACGGGAAAAATAAAAGGAAAATGCATGAAAAAGACAAAATGCACGCTAATTAACTGACGGCATTTCGTAGATGACGTATGTTACCGAAGATAGCATTCTTGTAATATGCCTTTTTTGTAATGCCGATGAAGCGTAACTGATGCATAAGAAGAACAATTCATTAACTCCAGAACCATAAAAATGGCAAATCCGTCGTATCGAACAGGTTTGCTGATTACTCTGGCCTTAAATGTATAAATCTATGCAACTTAGTTAAATTGATTTTTATAAAAAGATATATTTCTAGAGAAAACTTACTTTATTTTTTCTGTCACTAAAATAGAATCGCGCACATATAGAACGTGATCAGACATTTTTAATCTTGTAAGAATTACCGAATCATCTATGACGGCCAAAATTCTTGGCAACTTATTTTTTTATTTCGTTTATTAGCGGTTAGATTAACTGTTCATAATAAAAAGCGATTTAATTAAAAAATTTAGTATTTTGAGTTTTCCGCCTTATATCGAGGTGATTATGTATTCGGCTGCCTTCCAGTACGCTGTGTTGCGAAATGATCTTGAATCTACATTAGCACGGGTCTATAAATAGGGTAGACAACTACGTTAGAGTTACACAATTACGGAAACGTAAAAATTAACATTGGAGAACTTCATTAATAGATTCGATTTCGATGCCGGATGTTCTCTTTCTACGTAAGTTCCTCACCGTAGTTTATTTCATATTCAGCTTGGCCCTTTTCGATGCCTGCGTCTCTGGCCCACATTCTTACTGATCTTGTGGGTTCCAATTGTCCTATTTACTGGTTTAGCGAAATTATTTTTCCGCCGGTAATAGCGAGTCTGCAAGTATAATATAAGTATAATAGTAAGTTTATTGTCTTATACGACAGTTAATGTTATATATTTAGTTGTATGCTCTGTGCGCTAAATAAATATAGCTATATAAGAAAACTTAATAGCGATCAAGATAGCATTTTTATTTGAATATTTCAATTTCGATACGTTTCAAAGCATATGCGTTTACTTTGTGACTTTCGGTATTATTTGTACACATTCTAAGTTCCTTCGACGTCCATCAATAGAGCACTTCGAAAGCCTTCGTCGTTCCTGATTGCCGGTTTCCTGTCGTTGGCATTATGAAGCACGGTTGTCTTTGCTTCATCGGTAAGCCAGCAATTTCAATCTAGAACCAAAAGGGACACGGCTACTTAGAAGATGACTAATGACGCAACAGGTTGCTATCGTTTGATATCGCCATTTGTCTCTTGAGGCGCTGTTGTACTATATTGCGTGGAACATCAGCGCTATAAGGGGGTATAAGACATTTGAACGCGCGGAATAAGCCCGGGTGACACAGGTCTCGTGGTATCATTAGTTCCGAGTACCAATATCACAGGAAATAATCTTTATTGATCAGGAGAAGATTAAATTAAAGCGAAGAATTACTGAACCGGTATAGCGACGTTCCATCGCAAAGGCTCATTGCGTATGGCAATGATAGTCGAACTGCGCCGAGCTGAAATTACACCGTGGAGATCGACGATCATTAGCAAACTTGGAAACAGGCAAAGCAATCGCTATCAACGTGTACAGTACCAACGCTGCCGTGTACCATTTACACGTGTATCATGCTGGAGGATACGGGTGTTCGCTTGGATTTTTTTATTGCTGAACCCAGTTGGCTTTCTGTGCCACTTTATTTTATATTAGTTGCTATGATACGTAAAATTTCTATGGATGAAATTCGCCAACAACAGTAGCATCAGGAAACAATGCCGGTCATCAGCTGTAAAGGCTCAGCGGTCTATGTCATAAGACTACCTAAATCTAGGGTCCGGCGAAAGATGAATAGAATGGTTCGCCCGTGGCCTCAAATGACGAAACAGGCAAGTTCCAAAAATGCCAACTCAATCCATTGATCTATGCCTAATCACGGGAATGTCGGTTTTTCATAGGGTCTTTCTTTTATAGGTCTTTTTCGATGATAGCCTTATTAGCTAATGCATTATATTTAGGAAATGCTTGTAACGTAATTCGTTATTTCTGTCATTGACCCATTTATCCTTTCCCAACCGATCTCAATTGCAGCATACTTTTAAACGGGGTCTAAATCTTGAAATAATACCCACACCTCACCACGAAGCGTTTAGCAGACGACGCTGCTTATCGGATTCGGTGCCACTTTTTCTGTAACTAATGTAAGTATCTAACATACTTTGCACAATAAGCTGTAAATACCCCATTAGTCCGCTTTGTCCGTTATACTTTCGTCAGTTGTTGCTACCAACCGTCGTTTTTGTCGACTATCTGTCGATATGTCGCTGCGGCCGTCGCTCCTGCTGCTGTCGTCATGTTGACGCGAAGATCGTGGCGTGGGACCACCCAAATCAAGTAAGGGGAAGGCCGATCCCAGACACCCGCGTGTACAAAATAGAACTTGTTCAAATAGTAACTGCCGATAATGAGTGAGACCGTTGCCTTGCTTTTCTCCTGTACTTCTTCTTTTTGTACCAAATCAACGTTGCTATATCTGCAAGCAGCTATCGGCGAGGACGCTCCCCTTGCTCCGGGTGTGGTTCAGTCGGTGAAATGAGATCAGCGAAACTAATGGGAAATATTATTAGATGTAATAATAAGAATAAGAGCAGGGGAAGGCAATACTAATTATTACTATCATTGAGCTACCGTTGCCCTGTTTTCGATGGCCCCTCTGTGGTGGCCGATGCAACATGCGACAGACAAAATAAATCGAATATACAGATTCGCTTATTGTGTGTACGTGTGTTTAAAGTAATATATGTACAATTTAAGTAGAAGTTTGCAAGACTGTTATAACAAAGAAGTTAATTTTACCCAAGATCTGTGCTCCAAAGCGGTGAGTTCTTTACGATTGGTCACATTCGCAGACAACGCTTTACCCACAGTCGTGACACTGTTAGGAGCCCGTCCGGTCAAAACATTGCCTCTACAGAATACTGCTAATGCAGGGACGCGTTGCTGCAGATTTTTTTTTTCCATAAAGCAGCACACACAGACCAAGGGGCAAGGTCAAGAGCTGTGACAACATATTTGGATAGTCTAAAAATTGATGAATTAAGGGCCATATGCCATATACTGCTAAAAAAAACTTTATACGCAGACAAAGCGTGCTTTCTTTTTCAATTTTCATCCGCTATTATATATCATTGGCTCATGCATTTTCACTATCTCACAGTCTTTTCTAGCACAACAACAATGACAATAACCACAAGCAAGCCACCAAACTCTCATTTTCAATGAAAACTCTGAGCCAAGAAGGATTCAACGGTACGAACCGCAAAGCTGATGTCGAACGCCTACGTTTTTGACTGAGGCAATAGCTCATTCTGGCTATCAACCAACGACGAGACAGGAGCAGCAATAGCAGCCAACGTTCGAGCCAGAAAGAGCTTCGCGTCAAGCAACCGATTTGGCTACCGCCTAGTATATGTTATCCGAGGGGCAATACAAGAAATACCCTTCCTCCGGTTGCCCTCGTCACGTTGAACATTAAGGGCAACAATAATAACAGTGAGACTCTGTCCCGTCGGGCTAAAAGGCTCATGGCAAGCGTGGGCCTGCTATTGTGTGTTTCGTTGTAGCGATAAAGACAGTATCATAAAATTTGCTTACAGCTTGTTTTTAGATATTCGCCATTGTCTCGTGTAAACTAAAGATGACTCAGATTCGTATTCATCAGTTGGTGTGATTTTAGCTTTGGGGGTCCGCCCGTGCGGTGGACCCGCACAGAAAAATCCAGCTAACCTCTGGTAGTCAGCCAGAGATTCAATACGCCTTCTTTCGCTAAGGCTTAATGTAGTGATTATCAGTAGCATCGTTAGCTATGTGTTCATTCACTGTATATCTGTGAATGTGTTCTAGAGAAAAAAGGCGTAGATTATTGAAAATTGCTTTCCTCTCCATGGTGGACGTAATTGCTGGATGGGCCATGTAGGACAGGAGGTGTTTATGCGACGAAAGTTCCCTGTATCTGATGTTATTTTTGGCTATATTTACGTCTGTGAAATTTCTGTTTCTTTCGTCGTCTGTAGTGCAAAATGAACGTATATTTCACGTATCGTAGGTGTTTGGTTGAGCCTTGCATCTCAGAGTATTTCTCAGGCGATCACCATACCAGGAACAACACTAGAAGGCGATATACTCCAATGTCATTCTGGTGACTTTTCATCGCAGAGTAGGCTGATATGAGCTAGCTTGGCCGCTAAAAGCAAGACAGCTGATATCAGAGAAACGTTACGTAACTTTTCGTCAAAATAATTCGCATCTATATAGTTGCAGAATAAAAAATACACATTAATTTTTTATATGTAGAGCGTGACAACCGACAGGACAGAAGCACCTCTTTGATTTGTATGAAAATTTAATTGAATTACGGAATCACAATTTACTTGATACATTTATTGATAATGTTTATTTTATCTAAGCAAACAAATGTAATTGATTCTCTTAGAGGCAAAACCGCTTAAAACGAAAGTAATTTTACTATTTCACCCTTGTCATTTCATCGACAACAAATTATACACTAGAGTATATGATCGCTTTACGTTATTCATTGGTGGCTATAGACCAACATTCTCAGGTTGGTAGAAGTCTAAAGAAATCGAGAAGTAGAGGAGAAAACTAATCCAGGCTGGAAAAACGAAGACGAGTGTCGCTGACACTTTGATTATTGCAAAGGCCGCGTACGTCAATACGGGGAAATCCTGGCTAGGCCATCGTTTCCGAAAAGAAAGCAAGTGCATTTCACGGAACCCACTTTACGCGGACCATCATTCTGTCAGAAAGACTGGGTCGCAACCAAAGCCGTTGCCCACAGTCGCTTAAACGATCGTTGCGATCGAGCAAACTGCCGTCTTCCTTAAGGGAACTAGCACAAACCCCACCAACAGCCAAAAATAGAGTCTATTGCAAACGCTAGCTTTGGTACCTGCCTACCTCCAATTTCGCACTTCGGCCTTGTGCCGTAGTCGGGCCGCGACAATCGTTCCTTGTTCACTTCGTCTTCGAGCTACCGCCAAAAGTCCTTTTTCGTTTAGCCACTAGCGACGGTTAGCCCTTAAAAACAGCGTTCGTCGCTGCTTGAATGCTTACCTCTGCATCCTGGTTGCCCCCCATTCAGTTTGTGGCTAGCTAAGAACCTGCTGGCCCAGCGAGTCTCATCTCTTCTTTTTCCCAATGGACCACCCGCTTCACTTCCGCAATCACCTTCTCCATTTTCTGGTCCTTTTTTACAGAAGTGTTTTTTACTTCCACTCTTGCTTACCAATACGCCTATCCCATCACTGCCGAAACGACGGATATTGTCCCATTTTCCTCTGGCGTGAACCCTCATCCATTGTTCTATGTGCGCGGACCCGTCGTCTATACAGACCGATGTGGATCATTGTGCAGGTGGTAGGCTTCAGCCACGGAGGTGTCACTCGGCGCTGCTGCGGTTGCTTCCGAAACAACGCCATCACCACCAACACTGCCTGCGAGTAGTAGCTATGATCCGAGTTTGGCGAATCCAGTCAACTCAACGGGCTCAATCTAGCGGCGGGTCCAGTCAGCCAGCGATGAGCGGGTTTTATCTCTTGTCTCATATCTCGGCTTAGAAAAGTCTACCGTGTAAAGGCTGTAGCGACCGCAAAGGCATCAGCAATATTATCATTGGTCGAGATAAAAGTACTCCACCTCAATAGTCGATCCCCATGCCCTTTAGACTCCAACACAGGGACATATACCTTGCTTCAGATCTGGTAGTTCACACAGCCTCTGATTTTCACACGACTGCAATCCCATTATATTGATGTGGCTAGAACTAGCCAGCCTAAGGACACACCTCTTGGCTAGACAAGTCAGGTGTAAAAGGTGCCATTGGTAGCAAAGGAATGAATAAGGATAATCTCCGAAGCTCTTCATCCGTCAGGTTTTTGCTGTTTTCGGTATTATAGTGACGCCGCTGCTGCTCAGCTGGACGCGGCAACGGAATCGCCGACGTCCACATCCAGGCCGATGACCCAGAACCAGGTTGCTCGCGATAAACGCTCACCCATTCGACCATTACTGTCATCTAGCTAGTGTCTAGAGAGAAAAGCTCATCTGCAGAATACCCTACCATTCCCCGTTTTTCCTTTCGTTTTTCTCTGCTCGACAGAGTTTTTCATCACTTTCGACCCTTCCCCTATTGACATTGACCTCGTCGTCGTTGTCGTCGTCGTCCAGCAACGTCCTGCTCTACCCCAGGCTTCGCTTACTCCCACGAAAATGGTCCATGATAGGCCCTGCTTGGTTCGCCTTAGAGCCGTCCGATCCTCCAGCCTTCACTTACGTCGACTAAATGGCGAGCGAGAAGCAAAAACCATTGTTCGTGCACTTCATCCTTATTTTATCCTTGGGGCTGCTGTCCCTGATTCTGCTGCCGCGGCTTCTTCTTTTTCATCTTCTTAGTCGGTCCGTCTCTTCGAACGAATCCTCGCCCCCATATTCGTCGGTTAGAAGATTCAGCGGCGTCCTGACTATGGTTACTACGAGCCTTTGGGGGCTCTATAAATGCAGCCTGCTACTGCCCACTCTTTTCACTGTCCATTTTTCCACTGTTCCGCACGCTGTGGGCCGAACGGCGGACGCTCGACTCTAAAGTGGCGAAGCGGTCGTACTTGTGGGCAAGCTGCAATGAAGGCGCTAACACAGGCTACGGCAGGCACGCGCCAAAATTCAAAATTAATTAAGTTTCTCTCCTGGCACCACTACCGTCACGAGCTATACCGCTAGATCTGCTTTGCCCCGAACTACGCAATGCTCTTCGTGGCCGCTCGTCTCATCGCCTTACCCCGTTTTCACTAGTGCGTGCTCTATTCTCACTGCCTGTTTCTCCTCGCACTTCTCCTTCGAACTCGCACTACTCCGCCCAAGAAATAGGTAGGATCCCGCCCCTTTCGTTCCTTTGGGGCATTCATCCTCGCCAGTGGTATGTAGCGCTTCGTGCCGACCAGTTCTATACCCGTGCTTTCACCACGTCGCAGTTCGCTGTGAAGTGCCTACTGCCTTCCGGGTCTCAGACAGCCGAAATCCTTCAAAGTAGGCAGTTTCTTTAGGCTGGTATAGACTCTCATAGTACTGAAAAAAAGATAGATTAAGAGGAGTCTTACAGGTTTTTTTCGAATGCATTCTAGGACACGACGTCGACAGCCATTTTTAAATATCGAGTCTGCGAAAGCAACCGCTACACTTTCTCCCTATGGACCTGCGGGTATGTGTCCTGCCAATATTGATTTGTCAACTATTACATTCTCTGTGTGCGCGTGTCGGTTCTAGCGATCTCCGTAAAATGTGTTTCAAAAAAGTTCGCGTTCATTGGAAATGATAGTTTATTAGTTTGTTATTATTAACTACTACTTCCTGTCTGTCTGAATAGACGATAGAGGGCGCGCAGCTACAATTTCGTTCCATCAAACGCGAACAATGGCGAGATCAGTTAGAGGTGATCAGATCAAATGAGACCTACCAAACAAGCTGACTTCGACTTTATCGTAAAATTTATAGATATTCATTGGAAGCCCAATGAAGCTATTGTTCCCCAATTGGAAGCTATCGTTCTAAATAGCTTTTTTATATGTCGTTGGTGGTAGACAAGCGATTTCGCCTTCCCGCCATTGCCTTATTAGCGATCCGTTGGTAAATTGATACCTGCGCGGAGCTATCGGTAGAAACAATATAAATGGGAAAATAATGGATTAGCTATATGAATGGGTGTACGTCGAGTCTTTTTGTAACCTTCGCTTTGTTTTCGTAGACACGTTTTCGCGTCTACGACAAATAATGCCGTCCCTGATTGGCCCATGATTTGATAGGTTTGAGCATGCGTTATGATCAATTGATTCATTTGCTGACTAAGCAGGATTGACGACAACGAGGTTCACATAATTGGTTCGCCGTAAGCGATACGTTGGATTCTTGGATCCAATCGTTCGGT